TCAAAGTACCATATAATTTCTCATGAAAATGTGATGTTATCATAGTTACTGCAGTAACTCGATAATGAAAGAATCGCTTTAAGTTAAAGGAAGGGGGGGGGGAGGGATAGAGAAATCATTATTTAATATAAGGCAGGTTGATTAATTTCATCGGGACGTATAGGAATCATCACAAAATAATAAATTCCTCCTTAGCGTTAGCAGTTGTGCTTTTTATAAATTCATTTCAGCGCTTACGTCGGCCAGTTTCAAAAACGCGCGCAATAGCGACATGGAAAAGCAATGCGGTATAATCGCTAATTATACCTTTCGAACTTTCAAAGCAAAAAGCTGAAATGACAAATTAAATACCTTTATGCAAATGCCGTGTGGGCTTTTCAGCAAAAGCGACCAAAAGGCTAAAAGATCAATATAAGCTGCATAGGGTCGCCTCGGAAGCTCGCCGACATTAATTTTTCTCAAATACTCTCTCTCTCACTCTCACTCTCTCTCTCTCTCTCTCTCTCTCTCTCTCTCTCTCTCTCTCTCTCTTTCTCACACACTCTAACTCTATGCATGGCGCATTTTCTCTTCTCTGTTTTATTGCAGCTCGCTGGCAACGCGGACGCAACAATCGAGCTAGCAATCGAAGCACGCAATTAGTATCGCAAGTGCGCTCTCGCGCGGATGCATGTGTCACGCGAGTATGCGTGCGGCTTGCATCCATCTCCCTCTAATTCTCCTTCCTTCTAACATGACTCGCGGGCACGCACGCACACACGCACGGGCCCTCGCACATAAGTGCGCACGCACTAACGCGCGACGGTAACGCGCTGCGCCGTCGCTCTCTTACACGCATGCGCCCTTCGTTACGACGGTCACGCATCCTTACTTCGTGTGTGCGTGCCTACGTGCGTGTCTACGTGCGTGCCTACGTCCGTGCGCGCGCGAGTGCGTACATGCGTGCCTACGTGCACGTATGTCTGACACGCGCGGTTAGCTGAACTTTTTTTTAAGCGGCGGCATAAAAACGCGAACACAAGAGAAAGAGAGGGAGAGACAAAAAAAAACAACTCGCACGAGATAACGTCGATGTATATGCGCTATATTGCAACAACGCGTGCAGCACTCGCCAAAGTAAGAATCAATAAGTGCTGTTGGGCTCTCTATCTTGACGGCTCACGGGGAGTCTTTCGATGCTCGTTTTTTTTTTTTTTTTTTTTTTCGCATGCGCCACCGGCTTTTTCGCCTTCTTTTCATAATCCCGTAAATTTCAGCTGCCTCAAATTAAATATTTCCAACGTCTTTTATTTGTGTTACATAATTTACAAAAAATTATAAGCTCGACTCATCCATACATACATGCATGGGGGGAACTGAAATGAAATAATAGATTTTAAAAGTTGGAATGAGATCGTGAATAGGAAATTTTTAAATATGATTTAACGGCTACGTTGCTCGATTGCTTTAAGAAAACATTGTAATTTTGAATTTTATATTTTAAAACACATCTTACCTTAAATGTACATTGCATATACATTAAACTAGCCATTATAATTATTATGTGGAAAATTTGCGTTGAAAGTCGCGAATGCGAAAACATTAGGAATCAAATTGTATAAACCATCAATTATAAATTACCCCACCTAATTGAATAAAATATTTTTTATAAAATGCATCGAATATAAAAACCAGAGCGTATTATGCGTGTATTGGGCGTTTTTTTATGTTGTTGTGCTTAAGAATTTACGTGCCGCTATGTTATTGCAGTATCTTTTAGTGTCAAAGTTTACTTCCATAATTCAGCAGTCATCGTCTTAAAACTCAAGCGTATACTTATTTCTCTAATGTAAGAAAAAAAATATCTTCGAAAGCAATTCTAGAATTACCATGGGAATCTAATAACAGAATTATCCTTGGTGCGTACGTGTACAGTTTGTAATAAATTTATATTAATTCTTCGGATTATTGGGATTATTTGGATTTATCGTGATGGTTAATGTCGATGTCAATAAATTTTTCGGATAAAAATCTCAATAAATTTATGATTATCTGAACAATGATTGTTTCGAAGGTCTTTAATGATGTAAGTTGTAAGCATCGTACCGTCACAGTCATATACTTTTCGGCAATAGAAACCCTTACTCTTGGTAATATCGGGGCGAAAAGCTCCAACTGAATTGTAGAGAGAAAGAAATTGCAGAGAGAACCAAAATGAATTGCAGAGAGGAAAGTAAATAGTGGAAAATCGATAAAATATTTATTATATGAAATTCTTCGGATTAGCAAGTATAGGTATACATATCACGCAAATGATAAATTGGCGAAAACATCGGGAGCGCATGAAGCCGCCGACAACGACGTCGTGGTGTGGGTGTATTCTCGCTCGATGCAATAAAAAAAAAAAAAAATGTAAGAGAGAGAGAGAGAGAGAGAGCGTAAGTAAGAAAGTGGGGAGAATGCGTCAGATAAAGTAGTCGAACGGCGAGACATGACGGCACTTCGCAACGCATTATCAGAATGCCACGTGTAATACATGATTGATAATTTATTATGCGCAGAGGGAAAAGTTACTTTTGATATCTCCCTACCTCTCCCTCATTCTTTCTCTTCCTTGTTATTGGCCTCTACCCCTTTCTCCGACGTTTCTTTCTTTCTTTTTTTTTTTATGCCGTCAGTCCGAGAGGATAAAGTTGATTATAGGGAGCAGGTATTTTGTAAACACTTTCGTACAACTCGGTTTTTGTTTTGCGTGGAAGTAAAACGCGCGTACTAATGAAATTCACGTCAATTAATTTTAACGAGATATAATTGTTATTGACTTATGCGTACAATGTGCCGCAAACTATTTTTCTTAGTATAAATTATTTTTCAACTGCACAACATTATTGCTAAAGTTATGATTTTCATTGACGAATTCTTCCACAATGCGCCTTTAATATCAAATATTATACTGTAAATATTACTTAAAAGACATTCTGTCGTAAAGTTACCTATACACTTCATTCTAACTGGCTTTTAATTAATTTCAATTTAATCAATCATTTTTAATTGAATAAAATTAAAATAACATAAAGTACGTTCGTAATTTATTCGTGCAATGATTTTTAAAAATATCAAATATTAAGGTTATTTTATTTTTGGCATATTCGATCGGCGGGAAACTAATTCTTAATAAATCTGTACAAACTCCACAATCAATAAAATTCCAATGACATTAATCAACAAAATCGCTGTACTTTATGTAGAAATAATTTTAATCCGCTTGAAACAATAATGATTCGTATCAAGTGTCATTTAAATTGTAATTGACTATTATGAAATTCGTCTTTCAAAATTCATAACATAACTTACCTAAAAATATAAATAATTAAATTTCTACGAGGAACAAATTACCGTATTCATACAGAAATTAGCAGCAAACAAATTTCTTTAAGAATTTCATTAAATATACTCAAAACATCATGTACAATAGAAGTCTTTGATACACATTTTAACGATAATAATTTTATTGGCGATGCTTTGTTATATTTAACATATGGACGGTATATGTTTATTCATTAAACTCCAATTGACAATTTAGCAATATATTATATTAGAAATGTATGAGTATCATAGTATATATATATATATATATATATATATATATAAAATATAATAATTCGTTAAATTGTAAAATAAAATATACGGCAATACATTATATATTATTTTTTTTTTTTTAAATATATATGGACGTTAAAAAAGTATTCGATAAAATAATTTTTAATACACATTTCTTGATTTGGTTGTATTAAAGTTTTTGCATGGCATTCGAAAGCTATTTAACCATACAATATATAATTAAATCATAACTGAAAGAAGTAGACAAGAGAAGGGAAGAAAGAGGTGTGCATTTCATGGATCACGATCAACACGATCAACTTTTTTTTATTCATGCAACCAAATTAAACTATTGTAAATATTTTGAGTTGTATGCCTACGATAACAGCAGTACATAATAACAAAAGATTATGATTGCCAGTAAATAAAATTTATCTGATATTTCATGTTTGAGTATAATTGAGTGTATATAGGTGTAATTATGAACATTGGTCGTGATAAAAGAATTAAACCAAAAAAAAATACATAAAACAAACGAAAAAAATTAAATAAAAAAAAAACTTATACAAAAAAAATAGAATTAAAAATATGAAGTGCATATCGAATCGTATTCTTTACGCAAATTTATCCTCGCAATTTGAGCGAACACAGCTTAGGTAGGGTTTTCGCGATAACCTATCACAATAACATATGAAAATTTCTGCAATAATTATTAAATACACCAACACGAGCGTGCCAATTTGTTCGAGCGCAGGCGCTGTGTGACTTATATGAAATGAAAGCTAAAATAAAAAGTCTAACCGCTTTGGCTTATCGTATTGAAAGTTATATATATATATATATATATATATATATATATAATCGATGTAGAACATCTTGTAATAAATAATTGATGACTAGAAAGGTAGGTATGATAAACAAAATATAAGCAAAAGGAGGTTTTTCTCATGGTACGTAGCTTGGGACCCATGAGATGAATGAAAAGAAAAAAATGTACCATTGCCTGATTGAGCTGTTGGCTCGGACAGAGCAACGAGTATCGGCGACGATACCGACGACGATGCCACTTGGCGGACATACTCCCGGATATACTTTAACAAATGTCAAACGATCGATTATTCGTCATTGATGAAGCACAGAAGTAGAGAAACGCCGAATAGGCCGATCGTAGGTAAAAAATAAAAACGGGATGGAAATAATAGACGAGTAGGGAATAGAGATAGGGTAGGGGAGGATAATGTAAACTGCCGGGCGATATGTATAAGTTCGGTCGGGCAGAGCAATCCGCGCTGTATGTAGCCAAAATAAGGAGAGAAAGGACGAGGAGGCCCGATAAACTTGATAGATTTGATAAACCATCCCGATACGCAACACCAGCGTCTAACCTTGGGCGTCCGCCCTCTCCGTTTGGTTTTATGCAGCAGGGTTGTGGGCAGTACAGACATGGGAAGTGAGCATTACTGCCTGAGGTGGAACAATCATCAGAGCAACTTGCTGGGTGTGTTCAGTCAGCTGCTGGAGTCGGAGTCGCTGGTGGACGTGACCCTGGCGTGCACGGAGGGCCCGTCCATACGCGCGCACAAGGTCGTACTCTCGGCGTGCTCGAGCTACTTCCAGGCCCTCTTCCTCGACCATCCAAATCGCCATCCCATCGTCATTCTGAAGGACGTCCGCTTCGCCGAGCTGCGCACCCTCGTCGACTTCATGTACAAAGGCGAGGTAAACGTCGAGTACTGCCAGCTGTCAGCCCTCCTCAAGACGGCCGAGAGCCTCAAGGTCAAGGGTCTCGCCGACATGACCAACATCAATGCCGCCGCTGCCGCGGGTCACGCCTCCAAGGACGAGGAGCACTCGTCGCAGACGTCGCCTCAGCAGCAGCAACAGCAACAGCAACAGCAGCAGCAGCAGCAGCAGCAGCAGCACCAGAATTCGATGACGAGCGCGTCGGCGACGGAGGTGGCAGCGACTTCGGCCACGGCTACGGTTACGGCTACGGCTACGGCTACGGCTACGGCTACGGCAGCGGCAGCGGCGGCGGTGGCGGCAGCGGCGTCAGCGGCGGCGGCGGCGGTAGCAGCAGCAGCTGGGGTAACGGGAACCGCGACGGGTAGCCCCACGATGACGACGAGCCCCGTCGAGCCCATGGTAATACAGCAAGACGGACCCGAGGACCGGCACCGCCCCGAGCCCAGGGACGGCAAGGATCGCGAGCGCAACCACGACAGGGAGCGAAACTGCAGGGACCGGGACAGGGACCGGGAGAGGGACCGTGAACGGGATCGGGAACGGGATCGGGAACGGAATCGGGAACGGGATAGGGAACGGGACAGGGAGCGAGATCGGGAGCGGGAGCGGGAGCGGGACCGGGACCGGGAACGAGACCGAGAGAAGGAGCGCGAGAAGCGAGAAACGGGCTCGAGGGAGCGCGAGTTGCGGCTCGGCGACGCCGCGGACCCTGACCAGCTCGAGGTCAGCGAGTGCCCGATCTCGCCGACGACGACGCGGGCCCCGGCGAGCCCCTGCCCCGTGCCCCTGGCCCTCGATCGGCCCCGCTCGAGGCGCGACTCGGACTCGGTTGCGAGCCTCGAGGAGACCCGGGGCTCCCTGAGCCCGCTCTCCGTCCACAGCGGGCCCAGCGACATGAGCCTCGGTAACAACAGTCTCGCGGTCGCCGGTATCACACCGGTCACGATGCCCATCGGCAGCCTGCCCCACAGCCGACTTCCGTCCCCCCACAGTACGGAGCCCCTGGCGGGCCCTTCGGGTCTGCCCCCGGTGCAGCAGGTGCCACTGGTAAGTAGATCTCCTTGCTTACCCGCTTGGCTGGTGGCGCCCTGGCGAGCACGGGAGCGTCGTCAGCCCGACTTTGTCCATTAATTATTCAAAAGAGCTTTAATGCGGCCGTAGCTCCGACGAAGCGCTGACAACTTTGGCAAAAACATCGTTAGCTCCGCGAAGTTAACAACTTTCTTGCATGCATTAACGTCTCGTGACGGTACTCGCATTTGTTACTACTTGAATTCTAAACTCCTATCGGCTGATATTTTCCATTTTCAAGCGTCATCGATCTTTCTCCTCCTAATTCATCTTTACGAGCCGCTATCAACTTCAATTGCTACTTTCGTTAGTGCATTAACGTGCCGTAGACCTTATAAACTCTGGAACAATCATTTCATAAAGGCATAAAATTCTCGCCATATACGATAATTTCACGAGCTCTCTACATACGCACGGCGTTTATGAACAAAACAAGGAGAAAACATAAATAAATCTTACCTTACAGTTGAAATCGCGTGGCTATTTGTGCGTTTAAGAGCAAAACGGACAAGAGAGAGAGAGAGAGAGAGAGAGAGAGAGAGAGAGAGAAAAGTAAAAGAAAAGGAAAAACTTCTTTTTTTTACATATGCAATGAAGGTTTTTTTACAGTTAAATGTTAAATTTTCTCGGTTCGCTTTGCCTACATTTTTCCTAAAGATTCCACAAATTCTTATTTTGACGTTAAAATTAAATATTATGCAAAGCAGTTCTTTATCTTATCTAAAAATTCAAGTCATTAGTGCTCGATCATTTCAATACCAATTCAACCAACAAGGCATATAAATGCTTGTGGTAAGATGTTTGAATGAAAAATAATTAAAATTATTTGTATAATGGCATCCCTGTGCGTTTAAGCGAGTTGTATTTATATTTTCCGATTATTCGAAACAATTACAATTTTAATATTTTAATTAATGCCAATTATCGTAATTGTTATTAAAATATATGTGCATTGCAGTTCGATTATGAAAAATAATGTTGTTATTGGTTGTTACGATATTTTAAAGAAAGATCGGCCTGCCAATATTTTTACATGGGATTAGTCAAGATTTTTACACCAAACTTACATGTTATATATTTTATTATTATTATTATTATTATTATTATTATTATTATTATTATTATTATTATTATTATTATTATTATCATCATCATCATCATCATCATTTCTATAGTTATTATTACTTTTATATTACATAGTATACGGTAATTATTAATATTAAATGCAAATATAACAACAAAGCGTAAAAATCATATCTTTACTTTAACGCCGTATGATGTTACATAATATAATAAAGTATTTATTATCAACTTATTCCAAATATCTAATGTTTACAGTTTGTACAAATAATTACTTGGAAAAAAAAAATAATAATGATAAACACATAATGGTAACATGTACAACATTATGAATTTAAAATACTGTATTATTATGTGTAAATAAATTTTGCTGCGAATACATTATTTTATTTTGTACACAATTATTTGATAAGTCATTATGTCAGAGCATTTTTTATTTAATTAATACTTGTATGTTAATTAGTATTATCAAGAATATTTTTTTATTAATAAATTTCTGATTTAAATTTTAATTTAAATTCTTTTTTTAACAATTTAACTGTTACTATTACATATTTTGGTTTTTTATTTATACTACGATAAGAAATAATTTTTCTTTTCAGGCGAATTAATTAATTTTTTTATCGTAATTATTATCGGCTTTTGAAATTTAATTTAGAGTAAACGTATTCATTTATAAAATACCTGTTTAGCGAATAGAAGATCGATCATTTCTTTCTGTGTTTAATAACAATTTTTAATTATCCTGGATTTTTTTTTCTTTTTTTATATGCGTGCATATATAATTAATTTTATATAAAAATTAGGTAAAATTTTCTGTGATTTAACATTCAATTTTTCTATTTAAATTATTAAATAATTAGGTCAATTTTCCTCACTCAAATATTTCTATGCTTAACTTATCTTGTACATGATTACTGCAATAATATTAATTATTTCTTATATGTATTCTTCATTTCAGTTTTAATTTAATAAGGTTTAATTAACAAGTTTTAACAATAATTCGTTATATATTTTTTTTAATAATTTAAATAATATTATATATACTAAATGGATTGTGAAATGAAATTGCATGTACATTACCAGTAATGTAAAAATATTTACAAACTCTACAAAAACATATAAAATTATTCGTATAATCGAATTTACAGTAATTTACAGTAGTTGTAGGATTATGAACTTATTTATATTTCTTGAAAAATAATATTTGCTTCACTTAATAATTATAAATAGAATAGAGTGTATAGAATTTATAAAAAAAAAAAAAAAAAAAGGAGCATCTTTGCTGTTTAATTGTAGTTTTAATTTAACCAAATCTACGGATTAATATTATTAAAAATAATTCTTATCTATTCCGAATAATACTCCACCTGTTTACTACTATAAAATTTGTGATTTTTTGCAATTCTTAATTATGCATATTCCGAATATATTCAAAATATTTTGAAAACATACATAATACACAGTTCCGTTTAAGAAATTTTTGTAACAACACTACCACCTGCCTTTAATAATATTACTACTTAATAATGATAGTAATGATAATAATAACTATAATAATATCAACAACAACAACAACAATAGAAACAACAAGAACAACAATAAAAATTAAAATAATAATTATTAATTTAATATTAAAAACGGTTAGGCAGAACATACAGACATATTAATCAATAAAAATAAGGAGATTAGAAGATGAGTAAAGAATAAACAATGATAATTGCATATTTATGTACAATTTTTATTTACAATTACATTATCCCATGTGTTAAGTATTAACGAGACATTGCTAACCACGATGCTTTGTAGCACGAGAAATTTTGCAAATATTGGCGAGTTAGCAATGTAAGGCTGAAGTAAATTAGTAATATAAAGCGCCGGCCGCAATGGGCACGTAAGAGTCTAAAGAGTGAAACGTGTCCTTTCGCAGTCACTCAAGAAGGAAGTGGACTGGGAGAGATCAACGGAGGAGCGGAGCGCGAGCAGCGAAATGTCTAGTGACTACCGGCTGCCCCCAGATCCGGTGAGTGACCCTTGCATTTTCTAACTTGGATATCTTATCGATTATTCTTGTTCTTGTATTTCTCTCTGCTCTGCATAAATATACATATTTAATATTATGTATATTATATATATATGTGTACACGCGCGCGCGCTTGCGCGCGCGCACAATCACACACACGTACGCGCATACGCGCATACATACATACATACATGCATACACGTACACACGCGTTCATACATACGTGCATAAATGCATACTTAAGATTTGTCTATACTTACCTACGCGATTATGTGTATATATATATATATATATATATATATATATATGCATAAGCGTTGGTGCGTACGCACGTACTTAAGTACGTATATATGTGCATATGTCAGCCTAAATGTATATACACACATACACCTACGCGTGTGTGCGTTGATGCGGGCGTGCGTGTGCGTGTATGCGTATGTATATCAGCATACAATGAACATTATTACCATTATCATTATTGTTATTCGTATTATTCTTGTTATTAATATAATTTCGTTTTTGTTTGTCACATACGATTACAAATACGCACGCACACGCGACACGCGTATAAGCACACTCACGCTCACTTATACTCACTTACCATACACGCACGCGCGCGCGCGCGAACACACAACATACACACAACATACACACACAGACACACACACACACACACACACACACACACATATATATATATATATATATATATATATATATATATATGTATGTATGTATGTACGTGCGTGTTTGTGGGCTTGTGCGTGTGTTTCGACTCTCGACGACTCGGATGCAGTTGCATCTGCAATCGTGTGACAAGAAGCATAAGTAAGCAACTCGTGAATAAAGTCGTTAAGTTGCAGATGATAATGCAGTGTATTTTCATTACGCGACAATACGTACATAATTACACTCGGGACACGCGTGTTATGTCGTGTTACATCATATACTCGTGGTGATAATACAATTAGGGCTATTTTCTTTTATTATTATTCTCGATTTCTTCTCATTACATTAGCTACATTCTTAATACTTTATTTAAAATACGTTTCAATTACTTGATTGTCAATGTTTTTATTTTCTCCTTTTCTCGTTATCCGGAAACAATCACAACGTATAATCGATTATGAGTTTGCATTATTTTTAATTTTGGTTAACATTACATTCTTTTTACGAGACCACGAATTTGAAATCATGGTATTGAGTAATCATGTCGATCATTATATGGATGTCACTATATTACTTTCATCTTACACATCGAAATTGCAAAGGGAGAATAATGAGTAATTGCATGTGGGTTTGCTGCATGTGCCCAAATGCTTTGCTGTCCGCTACACACCATTGTAACGAGTTTTCTTACGTTCGAACAAAATTTTTATGCTCTTACTCTCGTTCGTTCGAACCTATAAAAGACTCGGGGTTTGATTGTATTTTTTTTTTTAGATATTTAAAAATCTGTTGTGCTACAAATCATACATTTTCAATGGAAACTCTACGATTTTATTCTTTTAAATTCTTTTAATAAACTCATATATAATGAACGTAGTAAGAATTGTCCTTTGGACACTTCTCAATTTTCTCATAAAAATAATCACACACAATATCAGACGATTTTACTACCGCCAAATTATTTAAAAATATAAATTTGTTCTATTATTAATAATTCCAATTATTTATTATGGATATGTATATATATATATATATATATGTGTGTGTGTGTGTGTGTGCGTGTGAGAGTGCGTGTGTGTGCGTGTGTGTGTGTGCGCGCGCGTGTGTGTGCGTGTGTGTAAAAAATTAAAGCCAGTACTATCATTACCCATAATAATTATCATATAATGTATTATACTTATGATAAATACAAAAGTATAAATTTTTTTGTTTTAATTATAATATTTTAATTCTCTAAAAGCAAAGAAAAACTTCTTTATTAATTGATTACTTATCATGTGATGTATGTTAAAAGTGAATTTTCAACTTGTCAAATTCGATGACTTATTGTAAACATTTTATGAATTTTAAAGGAAAATGTACAACATTCTAGTGGGGATCAAGTAGAACAAATTTATATGTCGAATCGTTTAAAAAAATTCTCTTATTACACTAAACCTCTATTCGACAGAAGAAAAAAAAACCACAAAGTGATCTAATAATTTTATACTTGATAGAATCGAAAACAAGTCGAAAGTAAAGAAAGAAAATATTCTTGAATCCAACTATCCGTCGCCCACTTCGCAGTAGTTCTACACGTGCATCCCATTTTCTCTCTCTCTTTTACTCTTTTATCTTTCTTATCAAAGCTTCGCGTCTTCTCCCTTGCCAACCCCGTTGCCACTTTGGTCCCCTCACTGCGTGTATAGGCGACGACTCTGTGTGGCTGTGAGTGTACAAGTACGCGCGTCGCGAAATTTGATTTACGCAAGTTCTTCTCTCCTCGAATTAATTTGACATTTGAATATCGAAAAAGGAATGATTTACAATTGCAATAGAAGAAAAATCGCACGATAGCCCCACTCTTGCCTGTCTAAAAGTGCACCGCAATGAAAAAAAGGAGAGAGAAAGAGAGAGCGTATGGCTAAACCGCAGTGGACAATCTAAAATCGCAAAACTCTTTTCCGCTTGATAAAATTGCACCTGCACACCGACCATTCTGTTTTTCGTAGGCGTAAAACAATTTCACAGAAAGAGCGGCAAAGCGCGCAAGAATTTTTCTTTACAATTGCCATGGCACAGCTAGCGATGCGAAATATTAGTTCAATTGTCGCGAAATAATCTGTGAAAATAAAAAATGGGCAATTCGTTTATAAAATCGCGATGAAGAATTAATGCAAGTATCCGTTATATAATTGGCCATAACATTTACCGAAGCTGTTTTCATTTCATCTCATTTATTTTCCTTTTTTCTTTTTTCTTTTTTTTCTTTTTTTTCTTTTTTTTCTTTTTTTTTTTTGTAACGATCGACTAAACTTCATCAAGACGGGAACGAACTTTTACAATTATATCGAAGATTGTATTAAAATAATTCTAAAAACAACAACAAAAAAGAAAAGAAAAGAAAGAAAAACTCACTATTACAGAAGTTGACCTTCGTTTTGGCCATTTCTTTACCATCCTAAGTACCATGTCAATGATTAATAAATGAAGAAAAAACAAAAACACGCTCACATACACAAATTATTTTCAATAATACATATAACGTCCGATAAGGCATAGTTAAATACATACATCCTTATTTTTTTTATTAAAATATTACAAAAATCTCTAATAGGTATATTAGAATTCGTTCTTCGACATATAAATAATAGAGTTCGCATTTCTTTCTTTCCTTTTATATGAATTGAAGAAAAATGTACGGTTTACTTTTCGTCTTGATAGGCTCAATAAACACACCCGCACATGACTTAAAAGAAGTAGAAGCTCTTGGGCATCGACACACAAGCACACGTATACACTTCATAAAGACCGTATACATCCAAGTGTAGCGTACAAAAATGAAAATTAAACATATAAACATCTTTGTCAACATATGCAGTACGTACAGCGTATATATCATTTACTTTCTTACTTTGTCACATTGTCATATATATATATATATTATTATTATATTTTATATATTATATATATTTGTCTTTCGGTTGCTGTTTGCGTTGAATGCAATTTGCCTTTGCTCCGATATTTATACCTTGCAATGCATCATAAAGCTGCGAAAGTGCAATATTACGATGCATTACATTAGTATAACGATAGAGAAAAAGATAAAAACAAACGCCGTTCGAAAGTCCATGAACACGCAGGGGTTATCATTATAAGAGTGAAAAACGGGGCTTGAAATTTCACATTCATACGTGTATATGTATATATGTATATATATATATATATATATATATATATATATATATATATATATATATATATATATATGTATATATATGTATACGCATATAATTGAGAAAGAAATAAAATTGTAAAATATTTTTTAGTTTGGACTTTGGGGTGGCTCCTGCTGCTAATATCTTTTTGTTCGTTTGTTTATTACTTTATACTACTGTTTTTATATTCTTCTAATTAGAAATTTTGTACCACACGCAATTTTTATTACGCAAACTATTTATTTTGTTCTTCACGATTGAGATCAATTGATTGATTGTAATAGCAAGTAAAATAATAATTATATCGACCACGATAAATAATAATCAATTGTTTGTATAATAATTACAAGAAAGACCGCGCGATTTTAGCGGTCCCGGGAGCGCGCCAAACAAAGTGAGCGTCAACTTCTTGTGTTCCTACCGTATATTCTCAATCTATGCAAAAGAAAAATATTAAACAGTACTAATGTATAGTCCTGATAAAGCATACAATGAAAAGTAAAGTAATAGAATTGCGGCAGAAGACACTTCTCGCCCTACTCTTGTCTACATACACGATTGACATTTATTTATAAACGACATATTTAACTTGCGTTTTGTAAAGGAAATGTGATAAATGATAAAAGTAATATATTACGGATATAGTTCACCGAATTTCTTCCCTCTGCTTATCTCAGTAGGGAGCGCAGAGTACACTCTTCTAAATTCTATCTCTGTCCTCATCTATGTCTATCTCTCTTTCTATACATTAAGTATATTTTTGTTCGATGCAGGCCTTTCCACGCGATATTTTTATAAACACTGATTTGAATTTCAATATGAGTAAGAGCAAAAATATTGCAGTTGGGAATGACGAAAATGAGAGAAAGAGAAGGTAGAAAGGAAAGAAAGTGAGGTCAAAAGTAGTGCACGCGGTTTTCTGCAAGTCCTTTTTGAATTACTATACCTAACTTCAG